GTAACATACTCCAAGTTGTGAAAGGGATCAAAAACCCTTCCCTGAGACACTGAAAAATTGCTTTATAACTGGGGCAATGCAGGCTACTTATCTGTATGTAGGCTGGAAACAGCCATAAAACTAACTTCACTATTGGTGACCACCACATGCTCTCACCTGCCCCCTGCAATAAAATTCTCTTTTTCAGGCTTCCTGAAAAGTGTGTTTGTATAAATAACTTATCTTGTTTAATGTAGATTAGTGCTATAGAAAATAGCACAGTTTTTACTTCCGCAAAACTCCAAGTTCAATTATTCACATGCTTAAGGTACGCAAAAAAATGCTCTCAGACTACTTTGTTTCAAGTCAGTTTGGAGGGAAGGGAAATCTCACTGCAACCTAAAAACTTTCAGGAGAATCTAATTTTCATTTTCACGTCCTGCATACCTACTTGCCTGCCTGCCTGCCTACCTTAGAAGGCAGGTTCTCTTCACAGTGGTGACGGGCTTTTATTCTGAGGGGAAAAAAATTGTTAAATACTTCCCAGATACGAATCCATTTAAAAATTGATACAGAAAAATCTTGCCTTTGTGGTACTACTAAAAAGAAATTCAAAATGTTAATAAATATCCAGAATGAAGAAGAGGGAAAATGGAACTGGTGGCCAACATCTATTTCTCTAAGGAAAGTTTGTGAACACTCCAATTATTGTCTTTACTGAACGTATGTATTCCATCTATATACTTAATCTGTATAATGAGTTTAAGTACCTTTACTAAAACAAACACCATCAGTTCGAAAACAATCTGAACTTGTATTTTTAATTCCCCTAAAGCCTGAGATACTCAGACATTTCAAAAACAAACTCTGGCTCATGGGGGAGGGGCAGGCAAAGCATGGGAGGATATTCCAATGCAAAGTTTGTTAATTCAATGTGGGTTCCAGACTACAAAAGCCTATGCCCAAATACATTTGTTAATCTTTAAGGTGCCACAAACTCCTTGTTTTTGCTGAAATAGATTAAGCCTACACCTCTGAAACTTGTCAACCAGACCATCTGATCTCAACTGTTAATAGAAAAATGCATGGAGAGAAGAGGAACTCACTACAAAGACCCTAAACCACCAACAGCTTTATAGGGCATAACATCGTAAAATGAAACTTTTCTAGTGTGAAGTGCAGGCATAGTGAAAAAGGCACCAGCAAATAAGCAGCTGATTTCTGCACTAACCGAAGGGTCCAAGTGGGTTGCCTCCTCTCTGAAAGTGGCAAGCCTCAGCAAAGAAGCCAAAAGACTAAGACTATGTCTACTATGCAATTTTTAACATTAAGGCTTTGTCGAGATAACCTGGTAGCTTAAAGGTGTCATGTATGAATGCTGTTTGTCGGGACTTTTGCTGTCAAAATACTTTCACTTGTCGGCAAGAAAGCGCTCCTGCTGACAAAGTGGTGCTTACACTTGTGTTGACAAAGCTTTTTTGTTAATAAAACAAGACAACAAAACCATGAACAAAAGTTTTGTTGATCGATCGCAAGTGTAGACAAATCCCTAAGTGGCCAAGGGAAATGAGAAGGATTTTTTCCTCAGTCAATGTCCTACACGATTCTCTCTCTTTCTAGTTACTAACTTGTCTCTTTTCCCCTCATTCCAGCCTTCCCTTCCAATACCAGCCACAACCCTCTCACCCCATTTCCCTCAACCATTTTCACACTTTTCCAACATACAATTACACACAAAAAATACTTGCTTAATACAGAAGGAAAAAAGAAAAAGATTAGGATCATTATACACCAAATTATAAATCAGTTATTTGTAAACATAAGCCATTTATTCTTTTACCATCAATGTTTGCTAGGATATTTATAATATACCTAGGGCCCAGAGAAGTTCTGGCGCCAGCCCCGTATGCGTGTTATCTTAAGACTTGTCTGCAAAGAAAAATTAGACTCCTTTAAGTATTCTAGCGCACACAGGCACAACTGCCTATCAAGGATGCAGTTGTATCCGTATGAAGTTGCTTTCAGTAATTTGCTTATTCCAGTCACAGAAGGGAAATAGGTAAAGGTGTATTGTAATAGTATCACCTCAATATAATTAAATCCATATTAGTTGGGGGGGGGGGGTTCCAATTTAATTACACATTGAACCTTCCAAATCTAGGACTCTCTGTTTTGTCAACATCCGTGTTGCAGAAGGACCATGGATGTTGCTGGACCAGAGAGCCCCAGAGGTGATGTGCACAAGATAGCGGAGATTCCCACAGGTACAGAGGAGACCCAGATGGACCAGCAGGGGCTGGCCCTCCAGTAGGTGGGGAGTCTAGCCCTGGGGAGCCCCAGTGGCAGCCAGGAAGAATTCCCAGCTCTGGCCGGGAACCCTGGCAGCAGCCGAACCCCCCAGTCCCCTGACAGGAAGCCTGGTGGGAGTGGGACCAGCAGCAGCTGCAAGATATCCCCAGCCCTGGAGAGGAACCCAGCAACAGCGAGGCTGGTGGTGGCAAAAGAGTCCAAGCTTCAGGAGAATGGCCCCAGGAGCCCCAGCAGTGGGGAGGGCAGCCCACACTCTTGAGATCCCCCACAGCCCAGAGAAGAGCCTTGACCTCCCTTGGTCCGGCAAGATTCCTGGTTCAGGACTGCTCAGGTACCGGGATGTTGGACCAGGATGGCCCAACCTGTATTTAGGTATTTAAAAAAAATTCATATCCCTAACTGAAATAGTTAAAAATCAGTATAAAAATTGCATGAAGACTACAATTCCCTTTGTGTCTAATGTACACACACTAGTACTGCCTATTTAAAACAGAAGTAACAAGTATATCACTGAAGATTCGAATTTATTTTTTTTTTTTGCTCTTCTATACTGTAGTCGTCATATTTCCCACCATCAATCCCTATTAGAAAAGCAGAAGAAAATCATTGCTTCCAAAGGTACTCAACAAAATCTAGTATAACTACTAGTGGCCAATACACTGAATTGATATGGCTTGATTTAAAATACTTTCTTAGATCATCTTTTGATAATGACCAAAAAACTGGATATTTAGTAAAGGTAGAAGTATACAATATTAAGTTTGATATAACACCAGCTTTACACAACACATTTCTGTGTCAACCTCATTAGTATTATTTAGGGTTTGAAGTAGAAAACTGAAAGGAAGCCCCTCTAACCTTTCTTCTAACCTAGTCAGTCAGTGGGGCCACATCTTCCCACAAGTCTGGATTGATGCTGCGAGAGTTGATCTTCTGGCATTCGATTTAGCAGGTCTAGTAAAGATCTGCTAAATTGTAAACTGAGGGTATCCCTGTCGGCACCTGAGTGAAATGGACAGGAGAAATGCTCCCGCTACAGGAATGGTGCCAAAGTTCGGCTTAAAGTACATTAACTCCAGCTATGTTATCTACATAGTTGGAATTGCGTATGTTAGTATAGACCTGGCCTAAGGGAAAGTTTGAGTGCCAGTCCAAAACCATATTACGTTTTGTTTTTAAAGAAGTGACATTGAAAATTGCTGTTACTTATTACAAGTATTGTAGCAAACCAACAGTGCTATGGGGATAGCTAAATAAGATCTGTTTACATACTGTGGTCTTAAGTCCAATCTCCCTTACCATAAAAGTTTTCATTTCCTTTGTAGCACAGTGACTTCTGCATATGCTATCAACAGATTGCTAAAGAAACCACTGTTGTAATTGACTCCAACAAAATCTCCAGTGAAAACATCCCTTCAGATGCTTATGAATCCATACTAAAAATAGCTAAGAGAGCTTCTTAACACTAAAATAAGTTTATCACATTTTCTTTCTGTAAATTAATCTACAAGTCTTCATAGACATGCAGTCTCTGTCATGCAATCAACTGTAGGTGTGGAAGTGTTTTTTTTTTAATTCTTTAGAATTTTGAACTAATGTGAGAGAGACTGCAGTTCATCATGAAGCGGTCGTCTTTTGACACTAGCAAGTTGGCCAGGAAAATATATTTTAACTAGTGTTAGCAACAGCAGAGTGATGTGCTACAAGAACTTGCTCACTATCACTGCCTCTGTCCAAGAAGTCTCCATCAGCAGTGAAACTGCTACACTGTATAAAGTGGAACAAAATTGTATGGTGCTTAGAACTTTTGGAGAGATGCAAGATTGTATACCGTGCATTTGTGTTTGTTCGAACAAATCTAAATGCTATTTCAGTGAAGATTCTTGCATAATAGAAGCACAGACCCCCCCCCCTTATACGGCAAGTGCACCCCCATTTTTCTAAGCCAGAAGTGAGCACCAAATAAAACTGAAGAAACAAGTTAAACTAAAAGCTACTGATAGCAATACACATAAATAGAACAAGAGCGTTCGGTTAACGGCACCAACTCTCAGCAAAGCAGAAATCAGATTGGTGCCGTTAACCGAACGCTCTTGTTCTATTTATGTGTATTGCTATCAGTAGCTTTTAGTTTAACTTGTTTCTTCAGTTTTATTTGGTGCTCACTTCTGGCTTAGAAAAATGGGGGTGCACTTGCCGTATAAGGGGGGGGGGTCTGTGCTTCTATTATGCAAGAATCTTCACTGAAATAGCATTATTACATCATTCTGAAGGATCAGATGCACGGTATACAATCTTGCATCTCTCCAAAAGTTCTAAGCACCATACAATTTTGTTCCACTTTATTGCTGGGGAAAATATCAGTCAATATAGCGGATCTCTCAATTTCTCCTTGTAATTAGTAGATTATTTTAGCAATGCTTTAGCTAGAGGGCCTCTCTCTCCTATATACTCCAAGTTGGCTGAAGAAGCAATTCTAAAGAAATAAATGTTTCATAAGGAAATGCACTTAGGAGTTAAATTCATGTACAGTGACACAAACAGTACCTAGTGGAATAAAACCAGTAAGTTACTGATGGCCCAGAAGAGTCACTGCAGCCAAACAGTACTTTGCTCTTTAAATAATTAAAGCATCAAAACATTGCGGATACAGATAAACAATGTTAAGAATGTGGATAAGCAAGACATTGATACGTAAATATTTCTCTTACCTGTCCTGAGACTGTTCCTCATACATCCGCTCCTTGCCCTCTTTAAAGAGTCTGATAGCCCGTTTTGATTTTTTCATGAGACTGTCAATGTAGATTTTAAAATATTCATTCTCACTGAGCTGTGCAAGTTTCTGGTTGTCGTCATATTTGCTCAGTACAAGTCGCAAATGTTGGTAAGTGTCTGGTAAAATGTCAAGTATGTAAGGTGGGCTGTTTTTCAACTGAAGTTTGGGATTTTGGCACAGTCTGACCTAGAAGCAAAAACAACAGTGTTTTAAAAAAAGCACACACTGATGACACCACATTTGAAAGAAACGTGTAAGGGAAAACAACTTGAAATAAGCAGATTCAAGTACATCTCTTGGGCTTCCAAGAATGCAGGTCTAAAATGTCTGCTTTGACTTATCTCCCATGAAATGCCACTGAAGTCATTATTATTGACTTGTTCCTGGAAAACTTAACCTTCTATTGGCATGCGTAAGAATCAAGTACTCATAGCCACTCCTCTCCACATTTTATGCATGTGTTCTTTTAATAGGAACATCTTACATCCCTAGAGCACAGCAGGGAGGTAAACAGTGTAGTTGATTAACTGATAAAAGCTTATAGGTTAATGCTATAGACTACGCGCATTTCCCCCCACCTCCCTTTGCCAGTAAATTCTTTAGCAGGCTGGCCAGCAGCTCAGCTCACTCCCGGCTTGCGCCAGGCCCAGGACCTACACCCGCTGCGGCTCTACATTTAAAGTGAATTAGGAGCCAGGACGACAGGCAACCCAGCTCAGTTCTGGCTCATGCCAGGTCTGGGAGCTCAGCTCCCGCCTGATCCCCAGATAGGGGTTACTGCCACGACAGGCATGGGGTGACAGGCAGCCAGTCTGCGAGGAGAACTAGTTTTTTAAACTATCTCCTCTTGTGGACCAGCTCCCGCCTGGCACCCCCAAAGAGGAAGCAGCACCCAGTGCACTCTGGCCCCACTCTCAGGGACTACAGAACAGTCAAGTCAATAATCAACCAATAAGAATTAATGAGATCAATCGACTTCTCAATTAACCAATATTTAACATCTCTACTGTACACCACCCATTCTACAGTCTCTAAAAAGGCGTTATTATGAACCCAATATTTGCAACTAAGTGATTGGGCAACAATGTGCAAATGAAATTTAATGTTGATAAATGTAAAAGTAATGCACATTGAAAAACATAATCCCATCCCCACACACACACACACACACACACACACACACACAATATGATGCGGACTAATGAGACTACAAATTAGATATCCAAGAGATACTAGAGTCATTGTGGAAAGGTCTCTGAAAATATCCACTCAGTGTGCAGCAGCAGTGAAAAAAAAAAAGCAGCAAATAGAATGTTAAGAGTCATTTAAAAAGGGATAGAGAATAAAGATAGAAAATATCTTATTGCCTCTATAGAAAACTATGGTACATCCATATCTTGAATACTGCATACGGACATGGTCGCCTCACCTCAAAAAAGATATATTGGCATTGGAAAAGCTTCAGAAAAGGGCAACAAAATGATTAGGGGTTTGGAACAGGTCCCATATGAAGAGATTAAAAAGTCTTGGCCTTTTCAGCTTAGAAAAGAGGAGACTAAGAGGGATATGATAGAGGTCTGTAAAATCATGACTGGTGTGGAAAAAGTGAATAAGGAAAATTTATTTACTTATTCCGACAATATAAGAACTAGGGGTCACCAAATAAAATTAACAGGCAGCATGTTTAAAAACAAACAAAAGGAAATTTTTCTTCACTCAGAGCACAGTCAGCCTGTGGAACTCTTTGCCAGAGGATGCAGTGAAGGCTAGAACTTCAACAGGATTTAAAAAAAAAAAATTAAAAAAAAACCCACACAAACACCAGGCATGGCAAATTTCAGCTCAAGTGGTTAAAGTTTGGCAAAATTATAAGTAACTGAAAATGGGGTCTTACAATGGAAAGTATCAGGCAAACTTAATAATAGGTGTCCCACTACCCTTGCCTATAATAAAGATATATATGAGTACCATTGCAAACCATTTCAGATTTGGATAGGACACCAAGATGGCATCTACATGAACTTTGAGTTAATAAGTTTTTTAAAACCGTATTATATAGACACTTCAGTTAACTTCCTTTAAAAAAATCTTGACAAACAGAATAAGCTTCAAATGAATGATTAAATATCTAACTTGTGTATAATTTATTTCAATGAAATCTACCATAAAAAGTGCTTCTGATACCATCCATAACAGCCTGTTCTTCTATGGATAATATGCATGTATTTAAAACTACTGTCCTTACAGCTTAATTAACTTTTAAAAACTATCTTGTTAGACCTCATTACTAAGCAGATTTATTAGGTCTGACCAATCTTTGATTTAAACAAATCAACGTAAATTCAGGTGCTGTAAGAAATTGTTAGTGACCCAGGGGACAGCATTCTTCTCTTCAAGCTAATTTCCCATATGTTTGCAGGGGAAACAGTCCCACTAAAGATGCAAACTTCAAGCTGACCCCCTCCAAGAGCACTGCTGAAAGAGCAGAATGTTAGTCCTGTGTTCTGACCATATATTAACGGAAGGCAGTTCTATTCTGGCTCCCTCAACTCACCTGTAATTTCAACCGAAGATGGTATTTTACTTCATTCTTGTTTTGAATTATTGTATAGACTTGACATACACTTCGAGAGCTGCTTCACCCCACCCAGATGATTAAAATAATAGTTCTTATGTGGAAAGACACACTGCACAAGGAGAAAAGTCACACTAGCATAACTGGGAAAAGGGGGGCTATATTTATAGCAGAAAGGTGAACACCCCATTTCACAGGATATGCTGCCTGTATAAAAGTTTCTTATTTTGCTTAAGGATTTTCTATGGTTGAATGGCCAGACAGTTGAACAAAAGGACACACTGAAAAAGAAAAACAAGATTCAGTTCTCTTTTGGGTGTTTTAGAAAGTTTTTTTTTAGTCCAATATAGTCATATATGGCTAACAACAGGATTCTGTGGTCAGTCTGGTTTACCATGTGTTTCACTTTCTGCAGATTGCATGCAGACAAATTACAGTACTAGACACCTTAAAATTGACACTAGGCCTTCTATTATGTGAAAATATTTCTATAATAACTTAATTCCTCATAACTTTAGCAGTTTAATAAGTTTATTACAAAACAAGTGCTGGAGGTTAGTTCAAAATGTTTGGGGGTAGGGGTTTAAACACCCACCTACTGAGAGTGAGAAGAATTTTCCACTTATATTTATAATATACCAGATTTCAGTATGGAGGAAATGTGTCTATACAGAGCTAGTTGTGTAAACTATATGGCTCGTAGAGTCAGGATGTCCTGAGACTTACCACAAAGGTTCACATTAACAGTAAGCAACAACAAATGACAACAGCTGACGTAAAAGGCTGTCTAAAGCAACTGAGCTCTCGTAATACATACCCTTTCTGAAAAACAAAAACAGGCCACGCTTAACTTCATAAACCTCACATTAGCAACAGCACAGGGTATGAGTCAGATCACTGATTTCTTTTTTTATTGTGCCTGGATTACATGTAGGTATTTAGTAAGCATTTAGTCTATCAAAGACAAAACAAACATTCATTCAACAAGTTGAAAAGGAAACTTCCTTGAGTGAGGCAAGTTATGTGTATACAAGATCCTTGAGTTATCCTACTCATAACAGGATACCAAAATATTAGACTATGTACGTAAATCACTATGCAACTGGAGTACCCACTGCTACAAAAGTGCATGGCCTCCTTATGCACTCCATCCTGACAAAAACAGATTTAGTCATAGTAGGGATGAGATAGTGCATACATGTAAAGAGTTAATCAATGAACCTGGGCTCAATTAACCTTCACAGTTATATGCAGTCCCCCTCCCTCTGTATCATAGGCAGCAGCGCAGGGGGAAGGAAGGGGCAGGCAGGAGCCAGTGCTCACAGGGATCCAGCCTTTAAGCAGGTTTCCCATGAGCGCCAGCTCCCAGGGAGCAAGCTGCTCTCCTGCTCTGCTGCATCTGATACAGAGGCAGCAGTGTGGAGGGTGAGGAGAGAGCAAGCGTGTACCGGTTCCCGTGGAGCCGCCTCCTCCCACCCCATGTAAATGTGTAACCGCTGAAAATGTCAGTCGTTACATGTTTACCAACAAGAACGCATTTCAACATCTCTAAGCCATAGTGATCCTTGCATCTGTAACCTCCAGGCTTCACTACCGCAGTTCACATGGAATGGAACTCTTACCCTAAAAAAACCAACACCAGTTAGCCCAAAAATGCAACAACCCATCTACTCATCAACATGGGGCAGTGTGAATACATCACTACTGTTCTCCATGCCCTCCATTAGATTCAAGGGGCAGACTCTGATATCCTCTCTCTCCTCTTCTTAACTCCAAAAAGTAGTCCCAATCAAGTAAATACTACATTAGTAAGATGCTATCCAAAGTGCAGAAGTAAGCCCACGGTAGAGTTCTTAAGTTCAAGGGTTTCCATAAGACTGGTCAGAGTTACCCTAGATATCACACCTCTTCTCTGTGACCCTGACTTCCCTCTATAATTTCTTTCCATTGGCTCAGTCACAAGCGTGGGAAACCCACATGAACACTGAAAGCAAGTTTCCAGAGGAACTGGACAGACTATGTTATTTCTCTCTGCAAGAGAACAAGACAACAATCTTTAAGGGCCTTAAGCCACAATACAAAGCCAATTTCTTCTGTGTAGCTTTCCGTCTGTGACATCCTCCCATGCCTAATGAGAATTGGCTTATGAATATGAATATGAATAACTCAAAGATGCTGTAGACAAAATACATCATGTAACCTATCCATTCTCAGGTCACAATCTACTGGATCTGTATATCCTATGTGTGTGCATGCATCATTCTTTTATGTGAAGTTAGAGATATGAAGTATGCATCTGTTCATTGTTCTAGATGTGCTAATGAGGTCTGTTACCAGTGCCAGGAAAACCTAATGGCTTGGCATTGAGCTCAATGTCCTATAAGCCCAAATGGTGGGTTGCTCTTAGGAAAACATGAGACCATGCCACCTTGGTATTGGGATCCATCTTGGACCTGGTAATTTTCCATAGGGATGGGCAATGCAAAAGAAAGGATTACCATCCTGGGGGAAAGTCCATCTAAGATATGGGAAGCAATCATCCTGTGTCTTCAACCGGCCTTTGAAACTAACCCACCCACCCTAAAGGGATAGAAAATAACTTTGAAGAAGG